AGGCAGGAGGCGATCGAAGGGGATACGGTGCAGCGCATGCCCGTGGATGGACCCACGTGCCTTTTTCGCTGGACTTATAAGTTGTATTTTTTTAATTAACGAATAATATTTTTTTTATAATAAATTAGTCAATGGTACTTTTAGCCATAATTTATCAGCCAAGCGAACAGAGCAACGGTGGTCGTCAGGCGTGACGTGGACGGCGGCGGTCCAGCCGGCCGGTGAGTAGTCCGACGAGCGACGGCCCAGCTCAACGGCGGCGCCTTCTCTGTGAGGAGGCTGCTGGAGCCAGACAAGATGGCCATGGCTGCTTGTGTCCCCTGGGCCCTGGCTGCGAGCCCGGGAAAAAACGGATTCGGAAAGAGGTGAGCGGCCGCACGCCACCCCAAACCCCCTCCAACGAGAAAATTGATCCTTCGCCATTATCAAACGTGGGCTTCGCTCTTTTACCATCCCTCAAATGGGATTCGGCCGTCTGCCATTTTCAAACGCGACGCACCGCCAGAATGCCCTGGAGCAGTATATGTACCGTATTTTGATTTTGATTTTTTTTTTGTTATTTTCTTTCCCCTTTTACCCCTCACCCATCCCGTTCAGAACCGAGATCTCCATCAGAACCTTGTTCTGTTCGAGACTGTTCGCACGACAAAGACCGGGAGGGAGAGAAGGAACGGGGGAGAGAGAGACGCCGCCAGGCAGCGAGGTGGTCGACTGCGCCGCGGCCGCCTCCCCCGGCCAGCCCACCGAGGCCGCCCCGACTCGCCGGCGCGTGGCTAGGACTTGCCGTGGCGTGGCAGTCTCGCCGGCCTGTGTGGGCGATAAAGTGGTCGATGACGCCGCCGCCGCCGCCCACATCCGCCCCACCATGCCGCCGCCCCACTCGCGCCCACGCCGTGACCTCACCGGCCGCCCCCACTCGCCCACGCAGCCTGGTGTCACGACTCCGCCGTCGCCGCCGTGCTTCTCCAAGTGTTGGATGGACAACTTGCCAGATCTCATCCAAGGGTACGTATTCTTGCTGTTGTAGAAGTTCTCGTGGTAATCTAACTGTGCCAATTTAGTGTAGAAGTTCTCCAAGCGTATAGACTAGCATCGATTAGTGTAGATGTGGTTGTAAATCTAACTGTCCCGCATTTTTTCTGTCCTAGGCTCGATGGAGAGCCTGAGCTTAGCTTAGCAGTGCTAGAACCTCCTGCACGCAAGCTGCGAGCACCTCTTCTTGATTGGGAAGGTCACGCACAAAGAGATGATCATCTTGTGTTGTTTGGCAAGCCCTTGTGAGCCTACACGCACCTCTTGTTGATGGGATACATTGCGCATTGAAGAAAGTCGAGATGAAGAGGAAGAATAGAGATTGTTGATGATGAGGTTATGTATGAATTGTTGGGGGTTTAGGCCGAGGATGCAGCCCAAAAGGTTGTACTACTGACGTAATCAATGATGTAGATGAGCATTTTGATACAACTGGAGTAGCCAATGATGTAGATGAGGATTTTGATACAACTGGGCCAACCATTGATGAAGATGAGGATTTTGATACAACTTGGGGATCTCCAACTTGGGCAGCCAATGATGTAGATGAGGATTTTGATACAACTGGGGCAGCCAATGATGTCGATGAGGATTTTGATACAACTGGGGCAGCCATTGATGTTGATGACTATTTACCAGGAGAGAGGATTGTGGTGCATGATCCAAATGGACCCAGCTTGGATCTTGGTTCAGTGTATCCTAACATGAAGGAGTTTAGATTGGCTGTGAGACAATTTGCTATACGTGCAGAGTTTGAACTACACATTGTCAAAACAGACCCAACTAGATACATTGCGGACTGCAAGGGAGAAGGATGCAATGGAGAACGATGTCGTTGGCATCTTGTTGGGCGTAGACAGCCTGATGGGTGCACTGTGATGGTACTAACTTGCATTTAGTGGTGCCAATTTAATTTTCCTTTTATTATTGTTTGCAGACACTAATTATTATTTATTTTTGCAGGTGACAGTGTTAGATCCTATACACATTTGTTCATCAAGTGCTAGGAGGAAGACTACGACACCAACTAGTGCCTGGGTTGCTGCAAAGGCAATACATCACCTCAGGAAGACACCAACTATGGGATGTAAGGATCTGAAAAAAACTTTACAAGATGAGCAGAAGTGTGAAATTCATTATGACACTGTTTGGAAGGGTAGGCAAATTGCCTTGAGAGAATTATATGGTAAATGGAAAGAGAGCTTTTAGATGCTATTCAATTAGAGGACAGAGGTCATGAAGAGGTCTCCAAGTAGTGTTATTGAGATTGGTGTTAAAGAGGTAGATGGCATATTCTATTTCCACTGATTTTTTACGTACCTTTGAAACCTTGCATAGATGGTTTCTTGGAAGGATGCGGGCCATATCTTAGCGTTGACTCTACTGCGCTTAATGGTAGGTGGAATGGTCATTTAGCTGCAGCTTGTGGTATAGATGGTCACAACTGGATGTACCCAGTTGCTTTTGGCTTCATTGATGGTGAAACAATGATAACAAGCGGACTGGTTTATGACTCGATTGCATAAGGCCATAGGAGACCTTTCTGTTTTAGCTATCTCGTCGAGATGCATGCAAAGGTCTAGAAAATGCGATTAAGAATGTGTTTCCAAGAGCTAAACATAGAGAGTGCTTTAGACATCTAATGAACAACTTTATTAAAAAGTTTGGGGTGACGTATTCTCTAAGATGTATCCTGTGACCAGATCTTATAGAGAAGAAGTTCACGATAGATTTTTTTCAAGTCGGTTGTTGAAGCTAGTCCTCTTTGTTTTGGTTTGGGTTGCGGGCTAACCATTATAAGTCGTGGATGAGATCCGCCTTCAACCCTGCTATTAAATGTGATTATATCACTAATAACCTTGCTGAGTCGTTTAACAATTGGATCAAGGACTGGAAGGACCTTCCTGTTGTGGAGCGTAGACAAAATCAGAGAGAAGACAATGGTTTTGTGGGCAAAAAGGAGGAAAATTTCAGAAAGGCTTAGTGGTAAGATCCTCCCAGCAGTCATATATCAGTTGAATGCAAGAACAAGAGGACTTGGGCACTTGACTGTCGTGGATGGTGGATATTCTGCAGCAGAAATTTGGGACACCTCAAACACTCACAGTAGACATGTTGTTAAGTCATATCTGCATGAGTGCACCTGTCTTGAGTGGCAGCATACTGGTAAGCCTTGCCAGCATGCTCTGGCTTTGATGACAAGTGTGCAATCTGCTAATGTGCATATGGAGGATTTTGTGCATGAGTATTACTCTGTAGACAGGTTCAAGGCAGCCTACAAGAGACTCATAGAGCCACTGCCTGATAGGTCACAGTGGCCAAATGTTGAATTGCCTTTTGGGCTTAAGGCACCCCTTGACAAGAAGGAAGCTGGTAGATATAGAAAAGTCAGGATAAAAAGCTGTCTTGAAGGTGGAAATAGCAGAGGGAAAAGGGCAGCCAAGGAAGCAGCAATAGAGGCAGATAAACTAGCTGCAAATGAGGTGCAAAAGGGCAACAAAAGGATGATTAGAGGCAAAAGGAAGTGCAAGAGATGTGGAGAATTAGGCCATGGTGAAACAAGCTACAAATGCCATCTTAATGGGACTAAGAAAAGGCAAGAACTCCTATATTCACTTGCTGCCTTGATTTGTTGAGCTCATTAACTTCAATATTTCACTTGAATATTGAACTTGCAGGCAAAGGAAGCCAAGGCCAAATAAAACAAAATATGGTGAAAATGCAAAGATGCCAACAAAGAGAGCAAAGAAGGTGGTTCACAGTGCTGCTGAACCAACAATGGAAGAAATGCCACCAGCTGCCCCAAATGACCAAGAAATGGCACCACCTGGCCCAAATGACCAAGAAATGGCAACAACAGCCACAGATGCAATTTGCAATCCCACAAGGCTCACAGCAGACCAGATCATACAGACTAGCCCCATTAGGGTGACAAGAGGGTAAGCAACACATTAGTTCTCCTTTTTTTATATAGATATACACAACTATAATCAATATTGGTGCTTCTATTGCAGCCGACTCCAAACTTTGCTGGGAGAAGGTGTGGATTCAAGCATTGCTGCCTCACCAGACAAGACAATCCAGAAGAGGAGCCCGGCGAAGAAATTGAAGCCTAGGAAACTGAAAATCAAATGATGCTTTGTGTTGTTGTATTAGACCTATGTAGACCTATGTTATTGTATTAGAACTTAAATGCTATGCTTCTGTGATCATGTAAACTGGCTATTTGAACCTATCTACATTGCCAATATTCAAGCTATGCTTCTGTGATCATGACACCCCTTGCTCTGTCAGAATTCTATGCAAATTCTGTGATCATGTACACCATATGACTTTAGTCAGTATGATGATGTTCTGACAGATCCAATGCTTTTCGTTCCAGCTCTTGTTCAGGCATGGTTGATAAGTAACCAGTCAAGCTATGCTTCCAACTGATGAATTCCATACTTGATAAGTAACCAGTCATACTTGATAAGTAACCAGTCATGGTTGACTGCCTTTGTGTCACTGGATTGTAAAACAGTTCCAAATTATCACATCAGGTAAAAAGTAATGCATTGTTCCAAATTAACACAGGAGCAAATTGTAATTGCCCACTGTCCAAAAGGCATGTACATATCTTGAAATGGGCAGGCATTCATCAGCCAACAGCTACTGCTCTTACAGAATAGAAAATCAACTCTGGAAGGCTATTTCCAAGATGCATTTATTTATGCTAAATGCCAAAGCTTCAGGCATTACACGACGAGGATGTTGTATGAGCTTATGTGAAATCATTACATTTCGGTCATCTGCAAGATGACATACTCTGAACTGAAATACGACTAACAGAATACTCAGGCTCTAAACCAGCAGATGAGATGATTGGAAAACAACTTCATTCCATAGTGCTTACATGTCATTGCAACACATCTACTGGTCATTTACTAACCAGGAGTCTTACAGCACAACATTACAACACACTTGCTTCACTTGGTAATGAGCACAACCACACCTAGAAGAACTATGACAACAATTACTAAACACAGCACCACCAACAATTGGACCAGACCAATAAGCTTGTCCATCTTGAGGTCCATCCTCCCTTCATGCTTGTCCATCTTGAGATCCATCCTCTCTTCTTCATATAGCCTGCTTTTAAGCTTCATTTCAACCAAGCCTTTAGATTCACCATTACCTTGGTATGGCAATGCTTTAGTTTCACCATGACCTTCATATGGCACTGCAGCTTGCAAGTCTTCTTTAAGCTTCTTTGCGACTACTTTCTTGTAATCTGCCAACCAAGCAAAGAATGGACATTTCTTCTCCGCCTGTGGATGATAACACATAACACAACTTATTTATCCAAACCTTGACAAAGTAACTAGTTCATTCAGTTGGATACGACAAATATAGCAATATATACTCACATATTCATTGTAGTTTACGCATTTGAAGAAGACTTCGCCTTTGTTCTGCCAGGATTTGCATTCCACTACTTTATCACCGCATTTTGGGCATGGAATCAGGGGGACCCCACTAGGACCAACTGGATACTGGGAAAGGGCAACTGTTGGGATGAACGACGAACCGAAAGATGGCTCACCCATAGCAGGCTGGTGTCGGGGACAGCGTCGGGGCGTCGCTCCGTGGCGGGCTGGCTGCGGCGTGGATGGGGCGGCCGCGGCGGCTGGCCTGGAGGAGATCTCGGCCTAAAGCGTCGACGCTGCCGCGGCGGGCTGGCCTGTAGCGTCGTGGCGGCCGCGGCGTGGTGGCCGCGGGGCGGCGTGGGGTGTCGGGGAGGCCGTGCCGAAGGCGCCGACGGTGGCAGTCAACGACTCCGTCTCGCGTCTCTCTCTCGGCCGTGAGTCCTGAGGAAAAGGTTCTGAGGAGTGGAGATGAGGAGTGGAAATCTCGGTTCTGAAGGGGATGGGTGAGGGGTAAAAGGGGAAAGGAAATAACGAAAAAAAATCAAAATCAAAATACGGTACATATACGGGTCCAGGGCATTTTGGTGGTGCGTCGCGTTTGAAAATGACATACGGGCGAATCCCATTTGAGGGATGGCAAAAGAGCGAAGCCCACGTTTGATAATGGCGAAGTAGCAATTTTCTCCCATCCAACGGCCTCGCCCTTTTCGCACGTCAGCGTCTTGCTTTTTTTAATGCCGTTTTAATGACCACGCTGTCGTGCAACACAACTGTCGAGCACAGGCAGGTCACGAGCTGCCAACAACCGCAGGAATTCTGTTTTTTGACCTGCGACCGCGAGTTTGCTAAAAAAAAAAGATTCAATTCGCGGCGAAACGAAACAAAATGACGGTGCCGACTGCCGAGCTTGTGCTGTCATTTTGTTTGCGACGGCCAGGCTGAAACTGTAAGGCTAGTAAGGATGTCATTGAGCCTCTTGTTTCCAAGTGAAAATGGTAGACAGTAAGTTCTTGCTTCCTTGTTCACATGAAAGGAGAGATTAGGGCTTTGTTTAATTCCTCTTTCTAAAGTTTACTCTCTATCATATTAAATATTTGATACATACATAGATTATTAAATATAGACTAGAAAATAACTAATTGCACAGATTACAACTAATTTGTGAAACAAATTTTTAAACCTAATTAATCCATGATTTGATAATATGGTGCTATAGTAAACATGTGCTAATGACGGATTAATTAGGCTTAATAAATTTGTCTCGTGGATTACTAAGGACTTCTGTAATTTGTTTTATTATTACTATCCGAACACTCCCATGTGACACCCCGATGTGACACTCGATGTGATATTTCTAAACTTTACTCCCTGAATTTAAACACCACCTAGGTAAAATAGATCTGACGATTCTATCGTCGTGACTATTTTAACTATAAGCATACCCCGCACGTTGCTGCGGAATTTTCTTAAAAATAAATTCGTTATATACATAGCATTATTTGTATGTTATTTTATTGTATCAGATCTGATTAAAAAATCGGTAAGCTAATAGAAGAAGAACTGATATAATATTTGATTACATTATAGAGAAATAGATGATGAAACAAATAGCGTAGTAGATGGCTTGTATGTTAATAGATTAATTAATTAAAGAATAAAACTATTTTACATGATAGAGATGACATTGATATTTTTTTATTATAATATTTACTTAGTGGGGAATGATGTAGACACCTTGCATGAAGAGATAGAACATCTAGTGGATCACTTAGTGGAGAATGATGTGGACACCTTGAATGAAGAGAAAAATCATCTAGTGAGATTTAGCTTGGACTTAGTAAAGAATGACGTGGACACCTTGTATGAAGAGAGAATATCTAATTAATTACGTAATGAGAAATGATGTGAACACCTTACGTAAAGAGAAAAATCATCCGGTGAAATTTAGCTTTATAAGAATATATAGATATCCCACGCTCCGCAGCCCAATTTGCATTTCAACGAGCGGTCGTAGGGTTTTAAGCAAAAGTACTTCGCTGTTCAAGTACTATCTTGGCAGATGGCCTTCTATAACATCGACGAGTACATTCATATATTCTTCCGTGATTTTAACTTATCGTTTTTGTTTTTTTACCACATCTTTGCCTCTTGTCCAAACCAACTTCACCATATGTAGATCTCTATGCTATCGAATTTGTCAGACCTATTACCATCGTACTAGCCTGGTTTCTCACTCGCTCTATTCTATCTTAGTGTCGTCTATTTGTTGATTCGCCGTCACCCGTAGAAAAGTGAAATATTTATATTTGTCTTGTATTTGGTTTTATTATCTAATCGTTGTAATAGGCTTCATCTAGGCCTTGTTTAACCTGCTGTGTAATTAGTTTTGATTTTTCTACATTTTCTCCATCACATCAATTTTTTGATATGTATGGAGCATTCTTTTTAGGTAAAAAAATAAAGTTGGGAGTTGGGAGCAACTAAACAAGGCCTCTATCTTAATGTCGTCTATTTGTCGGTTCGCCACCACCCGTAGAAAAGTGAAATATTTATGTTGTCTTGTCATGGTTTTATTATGATCGTGTCATCCTTATCCTATCTTGGTATCATCTATTTGTCGATCCATCTACCACTCATAAAGTGAAATTTATGTTATCAACGACAAGAGCTCTACCTTTTAATTAAGAAAAAAATATGTATAATAAGTTACAATGTCTTGTCATGCTGTATTATAGTCGAGAAATACGGAAAAAACTACCATGGGTGTTTTTGTGTAGAATAATAATGGAAATCTGAGAAAGTTTTCCTTAAGAGTCTGTCTACTACACAACCATGTGTTTTATACAGTTTCAACACATGAATTTTTTTCACCATAGGATTAAGATCCAACAGCCTCCACTCTTCTTCTACCTCCAGCCTACAACCTCCACATATCACAGATCACATATTACATATCATATTTTTTTTCTATGAAAGGATAAATCACAGATCCGCCGCCGCCGCCGAAACAGAATGCGTCGCCGACGGGGGACGCCACGCAGCGCCTTGGCGCACTGCTTCGTGGAGGCCCTGGAGGCGCGCCTCGCCGGCATGGGGAGCGTGTTGCACAGGTCGCTTGCGGCGCTGGACACGACGACCTTGCTTCAGGGCCCGGAGTTCTTGAGGGCGTACCGGTAGTTCAACGCCACGTGCTGCTTCCCGAGGGTGGGCTTCGCGTTCGCTAACATGACCATTTGCCGCGCGTGGCGGGGAGCAGCCAGCTGCACGTCGTGGACTACGCCCTCCACCTGGGTCTCCAGTGGCTCGCCGGTCGTTGGCGCCGGTGGTCACCGAAGATGAAGAGAGATAAAAAAATCCATGTGATTTTTATACTAAAACACATGTGTGTTGTATAGCATTTCTATTCCTTAAAATAAAACCAAGAAAGTTTTGAAAAACTGTAACAAAATATTTGAGAAACTGAAAGCCCGATAATACCCTTCTCCCCTACCAGCTACCACCAACGCAGTCACTCACCTCTGCACACGTCGCTGCTGCTCGTCTTCCTTTCCATCCTTTATAAGGCCCGGCCGCGGCTCCTCTCGTCTCTCCTCCCTTCCCGTACCGTACCACTCTCCCCGTTTCTCTCCGGTTCGTGGGAGGGCCGAAGCTTCGAGAAAGGAAACCCTAACGCTGTGGGGAGTAGCCTCCGGCGATGGCTGCGGCGGCGATCCTGCCGGAGCTGGCGACGCAGGTGCTCATCCCGGTCGCGGCGGCCGTGGGCATCGCGTTCGCGGTGGTGCAGTGGGTGCTGGTGTCCAAGGTGCGGCTCACCCCGGAGCGCCACGCGGACGGCGGCGGAGCCGCGAAGAGCGGGCCCAGCGACTACCTCATCGAGGAGGAGGAGGGGCTCAACGACCACAACGTCGTCGTCAAGTGCGCCGAGATCCAGAACGCCATCTCCGAAGGTGAGAAGCCGAGCGCTGGCTCTGTTTTTGGCTGATTGATTGCATATACTCGCGCGCGTTTTCCCTTTACTCTTCGTTTGAAGTTGGCACGCGAGGGGTTTGCTGGATGCTTCGATTAAGATCTTAGCCTTGTTTGAGTTGGATGCTGTTGGAAATGATCGAAACCTTGCGTGCTTTGCTTATTGGCTTAGGCGCACGACCGCACGATGATGCTCTGGATTTGATTTTCGAGCAAAAGGATCGTGGGAAAACCCTTTCTGTTCTTATATATAACATATATGTATATATATTTTTTAAAATAGATGATTCTATTTAACGATGATCTCCCAATCACCTCTGTTATGGAACGAACTTTGATTTTAGTTTGCTTGCTATGTGACGAGACGGTTGGAGGAAACAATCATTTAGTGCGGCTTATGTGTTGTCTTGCTCGGTGATGTGAGAGCATCGTGCGTACGCAAGTTGCTTAGAGTTAGACAGGAGACTTTTAATCAATTGCTAGCTTTAATAGAGAAGGAGACTGCTTGTTTTGCAGACGGTAAAGGCGTTACTCTTTTCACGGTCCTTTTTTTTTGTTGAAGTTAGGGGGTGTTTAGTTGATGGGTGAAATTTTTTGGACGTCACGTTGATGTTGGATGTGTCGAAAGAATGTTGCAGAAGTTTTTGGGGTGGGGGAGTTTTGGATACTAATGTGAGTTTTTGGATACTAATAAAAAACAAATGTAACCTATCGGAAACTGCGAGACGTAATGATACTAATTAATGTTCCATGCTAGTTGGATGCAGACAAGGCATTAGATCAATTATCTAAAAGTTGTTGCTATTTTTACGCAGCAGTGTAATTAGTTTTTTTTAAAGCATTTAACGCTTAATTAGTTCTTAAGCGATGTGACATTGGGGGGAACATTTTAATTCTAGTCTTACCTAGATATTGGGGGGGGAGGTATGTGTGGGGTTGGGGTGGGGGAGGTGGGGGTGGGGGGGGGCATGTATGGGTGGTTGTAATATTGCATTAATGTTCCATGCTAGTTGGATGCAGACAAGGCATTAAACTATCTGTTGTTGCTACTTTACGCAGCAGAGATTACAGTAAGCTTTAGTTAATTAAGCCCTAATCCTTGGAGGCACAGCTAATTCTAGTCCACCTTGATATCCTTTTGGAGGTATCTTTTGGGAATGTGTGGGCGTGGTCAAAATTGGTCGTAATAATTTAGTCGAATTGGTCAGAAGCTGCCTGTGGGGTAACAGATGAAGGGATAAGTTCTAGCAGTCTGAGAAGTCCAGGAGTGGGGTTGCAGATACTCGCAGCACGTGGTCCAAGCTACTCATTCTTCAGTGCAGCTGATATTAACTGTAGTCGGTCCAGACGTCATCTTGTGGGAACCACATGGTCCACATCCTGCTGCTTTGGTAATTTCATAATTCATTGAAATCCTTGCATGTGCACATGTGCGGGGAAGTACTGATGCAGATGAACAATTGCACATTGGCTCGGCATGTTACTCTTAAGGCATCCGTGGAAAGAACCGTTGCATTTTTGTATTGTGTTCCAGTAACATTTCAGAGCTATTTGTTGATGTAGTCGTGGTAGTGCTTATCTAATAATAGACAATAACAATATGTGGTAACTATCTTTCTGAATTAAGAATAGGATGATATTCCATATTTATCACTGATGATATCTGGGAGTAATAATCGTATAGGTCAGTCAAATGTGACCTTTTCTGTGAAGATGATTGTGTGTTTGGTTTTACTGTTTACACAACGGACCAGAGACAGGTCATGTAGTTTCTGTAGCTATTGCAATGAAACTTGCTGAACAATTGTTTCTCTAATTACTGAACTATTTTGACATTTCACTACTTGCTGCCTAATTTGCTAAGAGTTCCTTTAAAGTAAGCTGACTTAATATGGGCATTTTTAAAGTTTGGTGGATTAGATTTGGTTGGTTCCCAATTTCCCATTGCAGCACCAGTTGCCTATGTCATGTTGTAGTTGCTGGATTAGTCTTGATGGATAAGTTTTCATTGGACCTCATGGTTTTCATTTAAATTAGCACTGAACTAATTTGCTCTTAAGGCAGCCATCAGTCTGTCATTACTTACCCTTTGTCTGTAGTTCTCTGTTCCAGTTGGTTTGATGTTGACTCATGTCCCTGTGCTGTCTCTGACTGTGACAACATTAAAAGCGGAAAACTGGTAGTAGGTATCACTAGAATCTTATTTTGGCTTGTTTTTTCAGGATGCCTAACAAAGGTACATAAATTGAGCAACTTACACGCAGCCTAAAGTCTACCTAAGATGGGTTTGATTGATCAAAGCCATGCATGCAAGTGAAGGGACTGTGATGAAATTTCTGTGTGTTAAAAATAGGGAAAAATTGTTGTATCTTGATAAATGATAACTGCGCCTTTATGACAGAACTTTTTGTATAAAATTTATCTTCCTCATATAGGATCAAAGAGCTGTTCCCATTTGGGTCTATTTTATAGTTGGTGTAGCAATTCTTTCATGAGTGAATATAGTCATGCACATAGAAGTAGAGGGTTTGCCATTCCATGATTTTTCGCTCCATTGTATCACTGACGTGGTGAATGAGTGGCAATCCTCAAGGCTCAAGCGCCAGAATGGGGTGGCAAATCCTCAAACTTACCATATTTTAGAGTTGTTTGGGATTCAATTGCATCAGCCTCGATTTTTTCTGTTACTTCAGAGTTGATGTTGTTCTGTGGCATGCTTTGCTCATTTCAATTTTTTATTTAGCAAGCCTTAATACACTGTCTGTAACTACTGAACTCACTTTGCCATCCTTTTCCTTACTTTGTTGTGAACAGGAGCTACATCTTTCCTTTTAACTGAGTACAAGTATGTTGGATTATTCATGGGCATCTTTGCAATCCTTATATTCCTCTTCCTTGGGTCTGTCGAGGGATTCAGCACGAAGAGTCAACCTTGCCACTATAGCAAGGGCAAGACTTGCAAGCCTGCACTTGCTAATGCCATCTTCAGTACTATAGCTTTTGTGCTTGGTGCAGTCACCTCACTGGTTTCTGGCTTTCTTGGAATGAAGATCGCAACTTATGCGAATGCCCGGACAACTTTAGAGGCCAGAAAGGGTGTCGGGAAGGCATTTATTACTGCCTTCCGATCTGGTGCAGTTATGGGCTTCCTGCTTGCTGCCAGCGGTCTTTTGGTTCTTTACATTGCTATCAATTTGTTTGGAATTTATTACGGTGATGACTGGGAAGGTCTTTTTGAGGCTATTACTGGTTATGGCCTTGGTGGTTCTTCTATGGCTCTTTTCGGCCGCGTTGGTGGTGGTATTTATACCAAGGCTGCTGATGTTGGTGCTGACCTTGTGGGGAAGGTAGAAAGAAACATTCCTGAGGACGATCCAAGAAACCCAGCTGTAAGAATTCATTCACTTGAATTGTGAAAACTTCCAGTTCTTAAGTGCTATCTTGCTACACTGCAATTGCATAGTGTTCATACTTGCTTTCGCTCATAGCTTATAGCTAGCATTCTGCTTGGACTGGTGTCTGCACCGTGGTGTAAGAATGATCTCTTGATGTACTTGCAGGTCATTGCTGACAATGTTGGTGATAATGTTGGAGATATTGCTGGAATGGGATCAGATCTCTTTGGCTCGTATGCTGAATCATCATGTGCTGCTCTTGTTGTGGCCTCGATCTCGTCTTTTGGAATCAACCATGAATTTACCCCGATGGTGTACCCACTTCTTGTCAGCTCTGTTGGTATTATAGCATGTCTCATAACAACGCTGTTTGCAACTGATTTCTTCGAGATAAAGGTTGTGAATGAAATAGAGCCTGCTCTCAAGAAACAACTTATAATATCCACTGTTGTGATGACTATTGGCATTGCGCTCATCAGTTGGCTTGGTCTTCCATACACCTTCACCATTTATAACTTTGGAGCCCAGAAGACAGTGCAAAGCTGGTATGAAAAAAAATTGATTGGCCATTGAAGTTTTTAGTATAAAGTTCATATTACAATCTTTCTTTGCGTTAAATTTATCAGGCAACTGTTCTTATGTGTTGCAGTTGGTCTTTGTGCTGGCTAATTGTTGGTTTTGTTACCAAGCAATTTATATTTTAATCTCATTCTAATTTAAATTTATCAGGCAATTGTTCTTGTGTGTGGCCGTTGGTCTCTGGGCTGGCCTAGTCATTGGTTTTGTTACTGAGTACTACACAAGCAATGCCTACAGGTATCTAGAATCTTTTCTTGCCAGCGAGTATGATGGTAGAATTTCTTGTTTGCTTCCAATGTATGACGTATTTGTTGTTTTGTGTTCCAGCCCTGTACAAGATGTTGCTGATTCCTGCAGAACTGGAGCTGCCACTAATGTCATTTTTGGGCTTGCTTTGGGTTACAAATCAGTCATTATCCCAATTTTTGCTATCGCGTTTAGTATCTTCCTCAGCTTCAGCCTTGCTGCCATGTATGGTGTTGCTGTGGCTGCTCTTGGAATGCTGAGTACCATCGCCACAGGCCTTGCTATTGATGCCTATGGCCCTATCAGTGATAATGCTGGAGGAATAGCTGAAATGGCTGGGATGAGCCACAGGATTCGTGAGAGAACTGATGCTCTAGATTCTGCAGGAAACACCACTGCTGCAATTGGAAAGGTAGACATGTGCTTGTCTTATCAGAGTTTCATTTGATTGCAGAGCAAACTAAAGGTTTTTCAGTTTTCCTTTTTTTCCATTGGCAAATGCTAGTTAGGGTCCATACATAGTTGAAATCTTGCATGTGCTTTCATTTAAGAGCTTGGACGCCCCTAGAAACTTCAATATTTTCTATTTAGATCATTTTATACCACCTTCAATGCAATTGGTTTTGCTAGAAAAGTTCTCTCATGGTTTTGTATTTGCAGGGTTTTGCCATTGGCTCCGCAGCCTTGGTGTCCCTTGCACTCTTCGGTGCCTTTGTAAGCCGGGCTGCTATCTCCACTGTTGATGTTCTGACTCCTAAAGTATTCATCGGGCTTATTGTCGGTGCTATGCTCCCATACTGGTTCTCGGCAATGACCATGAAGAGTGTAGGCAGTGCTGCACTCAAGATGGTGGAGGAAGTCCGACGGCAGTTCAACACCATCCCTGGGCTCATGGAGGGCACCACAAAGCCTGACTATGCAACTTGTGTCAAGATCTCAACGGATGCATCCATCAAGGAGATGATTCCCCCAGGTGCTCTTGTTATGCTCACACCACTGATCGTTGGGATTTTGTTTGGGGTTGAGACCCTCTCTGGAGTCCTTGCTGGTGCCCTTGTCTCAGGTGTTCAGGTTGGTGGGAGTTCCTCTCAAATTTCGGTATGATAGTTGCATCTGAGTTTTTCCTTAGTCCATTTCACCATTTTCAGATTGCCATTTCTGCATCCAACACTGGTGGTGCCTGGGACAATGCCAAGAAGTACATTGAGGTAAAGTTACACGCAGACTTTACTGGGCCTTTTTTTCCCCTGCCTGAACTTGCATGACACCTTCTCTAAAAAGCTATTTTTGAAGGAAAAAACGCCTTTATTTATATGACATTTTGATCTTTGGTTTGCTCAGGCTGGAGCTTCAGAGCATGCCAGGACCCTTGGCCCAAAAGGTTCTGACCCTCACAAGGCGGCTGTCATTGGTGATACCATTGGAGATCCTCTCAAGGACACGTCTGGCCCCTCCCTCAACATCCTCATCAAGCTAATGGCGGTTGAATCCCTTGTCTTCGCCCCGTTCTTCGCCGCCCATGGTGGCATTCTCTTCAAATGGCTCTAAGCCAGCGAGAGTCGCAGGATAAAGGCCGTAGTTTTATACCACCTTCAAATGACTTAGAGCCATTATCATGGTCTCAGCATTTTTTTTCTTTCTTGACAGTAATTAACATGGTCTTTGCTTGAATTTTTGTTGTTCTCTTTTCAAAACGTTATGCATGCAAAATGGAAGTGATGTTTTTTGGAACTGCTGTTTCAAAACAATATGCAATCAAAAAGGAAGTGGTGTTCTTCGAAACTGTTGTTTAAATGCGATAGCAAGAATTGGCTTTTGACAAAGTTTGGTTTACTGACGACCATTTAGAGCAATTTCAAGAGATTCTTTATATCTTTCCTAATTTTTAAGAAGAGACTTTTGAAAAAATACTTTCCATCAGCCTCTCTATTCTAGTTTTCTCGCTCACTAAAGACAAAGAGCGAGGATGACTCTAAAATTCGCATTAAGATATAGAAAAGGTACAAAGATATAGAAAACAATTTTTGCTCAAATAATTTTTTAAATAATGATTTAGAGAGTACATTTTAGAAAGATTTTTAAAGATGCTCTTAGGTGAACTGATTATGCGGAACTTCAAACACGCAGTTTTTTTAGCCTCTCGTGCGGTCATGCCTGGCACGCTGAAAACCTTGTCATATAGTGAACGCATGAAAAAACGCAAAGCCATGGATTAATAAAGAAAGAAAACACAATAAAAGTTCTCTCCGAAGGACCAATCCTCACAACAACCCGGAATACTTTGGCAGATTCTGCTGTCCTTGCAGCCAGGCATAACATGCCTCAACCATCAGGTTGGACAAGAACATTGTCAAATTGCAATACAAAACTGAAGCAAACAATTTAGAAACCATTCGGAGTATCACAGGGGTAGATAGCAATCTGAGATACATGATTAAAGGAATGGTTTAATAGTACATGCACAATTAAATGTTTCTTTTTTGTTTCCAAACTAGGCTATGAATTGTCCACGATCAAGCTAAAAACTCCTACCCACTAAACAGTAGACTGCTGCGCAGGGGCGAACAGGCAGCTTTCCTGCATGTAAGCAACCACTCGCAGCCATCGATCATTTCCTCTTCTTAGTAGGTGGTTGGGGGACGTCATCGTCATCCTCCTCTTCCTCTTCTTCCTCCTCCTCATCTTCGTCATTGTCACCGTCCCCATCATTGTCGTCGTCATCCTCCTCTTCATCCTCTCCACCATCATCATCATCATCGCTTCCTTCTTCACCATTGGCTTCAGGAACGTCATCATCATCATCATCATCGTCATCTTCCTCCTCATTCCCATTGTCATCTGATCCCTCGTCACCACCATCATCTTCTTCTTGGTTTTCAGCATCCTCATCATCTCCCTCATCATCATTATCATCATCAGATTCACCATCATCTTTGTTCTCAGGATCAGTTTCATTTTTTTTTTTGCTCAGAATCCTTGGGGAAAAGGAGACAAACAATCCTCAGCTTTGGAAGACAAGAAGAAATGACCATGGCAATAATAATGTGCTACATGTTTTGGCATTATGCACCAGATGGGGCGTACCTATTAATCAAATTCTGATCTCCACCAGATGTAAAGATTTCATTATGCAGAATCTGGACAACAAAATCAAAACAGTACACAAAGTATTAGCTAAAACGAGGTATATTCACAATTTAAAATGCACGAACAATGCAAGATGTTTTCTTTGGAATGGAAAAGACATAAATGACAACATCTTAACGCCGAACAGTCAACAAATTTCGAAGTCAGTAAAGGCACCAATTGCAACCACTTTCCTTTTTAGTAAAATCCCCTCAAGCAAATTAATACTGCTACTAATATTTATCGTAACAAAACTGATCTCAAAGCATGTATGGTGCTCTCCTTTCCAAATAATGGCTGGGCTACATACTAATGCAGTCATTTGGACGATGGAAACAACTATAGTACCGAACAACTAAAACACAGATAGTACAGATCTCAAAAGCTTGGCCAAAATATCAGCAACAAACATAGAAGGAGGTCACCCAATGTCTGTTAACATCAGAAAAGTGAAGTTAGGTACATGACTTGCAAATCTCCAAGACTAGCTCAATGTTTTTTCATGGGCTTTGTAGGACATAAGACACATCTGAGGAAGAAAATAAATGGTAGATCCTTTGCAATTCCATCATTAGCACGAAAGATATTCAAAGACGTCATATTATTTGGCTTGATACAAACACCACTAGGTAAGTCGTAAACATCAAGGTCTTTGGGCAAGAAAACACATTGCATTTTTAGACCAAACTGCCAAAGACCTCCGACAACCCTGCTTTTATTGAACTTAAGGCAAAAGAGGCTCAGTGGTTATTTATACCTCAGAGGAGCACATCAAAATAGTACAGATTCATATCTAACCTGAGTAACCCTAAAACATAGTCTGTTATCCAAGCAACACACGAACTCATGGCTTGCATCAGCTTATTTTGTGATGGTGCGCTACATTACCCCGATATGCCAGGATAGGGCCGTATCCTGTATTGGTACATATCCGATATGGATACACAGTGGATACGTATCCACAACGTATCTGTAAAAACATAAATCAATGAGAATTCAGATACACTTTACTGATATGTTGGGCTCGTCTGATACGCCGGTCCGATACGTCCCAGCCCACCAACAGCTTGTTGGATAACTCCCAGACTCCCCACGTCTGCTGCCTCCCTTCTCCCATAACCCTACACAGGCCACAACCACCACAACACCCCCTACACCCGGACGTGAGAGCTCCTCCATGGCCGAGTGAAGGCAGCGGCAAGGTCCTCCACCCCACTGCAGTTCCTGTGGAGGCAAGGCCGGCAAACTGCAGAACGGGGGGGGGGAACAGTTGTGCTCATGCTAGGCGGCCATGGCGCGAGATGACCATAGTGGGGGCCCAGCTCAGTTGCAACCACAAGCGCCGGCCATGGCATGGGCTCAGTTGCTTCGCAGAGGCCATGTCTAGGCCTCCTACATCCTCTGCCGGCTGCCTCGCATCAGTTTTGTTTGGAAAAATGCCATAGCAGTACAAGTATCCATATCCGTGCTGCATTGATGGTGTGAGCATACAAAAGATAATTACGGGAAACAAAAGATACCAGATTCCCTAGCACAACCAGGGAATAATCATACATAATAATAATAAAAACTCGACCTGCAGGGGCGGGGGATAAGACAGCCCTGGGCATTTTGATAAGAAGAAGATTTTCTCATGCAGGCCCCCACCACCCCCACGCACCAGAGCGCACACACAGACAAACCCTAGCTAAAAAATGCCCCTCACATATCAAGATCTACTGACTTACAGAATACAGCAACACAGCTGCTGCACAGAGATTTACTGTAACAATTTAACAAGATTTCTTGTAAGGCATGAGAAAAGAAGAAACTTTTACCATGGCAAGGAGCCCAAGTAACCTTGGCACCTCCAAGGCAGCCTGGGCAATTATAAGCGAGGCCAAATCAGCGGCCTTGTCTCCGCCATGGTTGTTGCTTCCAAATAGCACCTCCATCTCAAAGCAGCTAGGATTTCTACAAGAAGACAGAAATTCAGTACACGAACAATAGAAAAAACAGAAAAAAGATGGCAGAAATTTGGAACTTTCGCAGCTAAAGCGAGATCTACGGTAGAAGCTACGGTCAGGGGCGGACCAAGTAAAAGGACATGAGTGTACTCATGTACAACCCAAAAAAATTGCATAAAAATCGAAGTTAGTGACACGTATAAACTGGGCACGTATAAACTCGTACTCAGATCAGATCCGAATACAAACAGGTTAAGTTAGGGTTCGGGTGCTCGGTTCCGCATAGCAGGAAGGGAAGAGAAGGGGTGCCGGTACCTGGTGGGTGCTCGTCGCCGCGAATGATTCGACGAAGACCTGGGAACCTGGTGTAGGGCGGCAGTGGCGGCGGTCACCCAGTAGCCGCACGAGGAGAAAGCGCGACGGGCAGGGCGACCAAGGCCCCGGTAATCTCCACGCAGAGTAAAAGCGGCGGTCACACTGATCCAGCTTATCTTTTTAAGTATAAATGTGACCAAAATAAACTACTAAAAACATATTATTTAGCTGTTGAGTTCAGTTTATTTTAGCTATAAGTAACTAATAAGCTATATCAATCAGGCCCAACAGAGGAAAAGAGAAAGAGAGGAGAGATGGCGTTTTTTTTAGCAACGAGAGGAGAGATGGCGTATGCGGTTCCGGCCGATGTTTGGGTCCGTTGCAGGAATGGCCCCATATTGGGCCAACGACAGCCCAACACGCTGAGGTGGAGGCCCATAAAATATTTTTTTTTTTTTTAAGACTTTTTATTTTAAAAAGGTTAAAGTATATTTTTCAACACACAACTCGCATTGAAGTTTAATTTTTAATCTTTAACTACGAAACCGGGTAATAGATACCCTCCAACTATCAAAACCGAACAAATTTGGTCCTCGACTGGTTTCAAAAGCAATTTTCTATTTTCTTTAATAATAAAAAAACCGGAATACTTCGATCTCTAGAAGTTCATAATTAATTTATTTTAAATTATAAAAGTATGAAACTAGTTCCTGTGTTTCTTCTAAAGATGTTATATATATGTTGATGTTATATTTAAAATTGTTTTTAATTTCGCATGGAATTAAATTTCGCACGGAATTAAATTGTTTGCTTTCCATTCTTTTACATGACAGTTCGTTCGCTGCCTTCATCTTTGTGCGCACTGTCTTGCTTTTGGCCAAAAACAACTTGAGAGGCGGGCCGCGAGCGCCAAGCCCTGTATTAATGTATACAGTAGCACTGCTATCCCCGTTGGCATTTATTTTAGATCAGAAAAATATTTTTTTCTAAAAATGTTCTCTACTTGTTTATGGTCTATATATAGGTATTTGAAATTGGTTTTATTTATGTTCCTATTGCTTTATTGCTCATTGTCACAATGTCACGCTTGTTATTTATTTGAAACAAGTAAGGTCTAAACAATTTTGGCTTCACCAGCTCCTACTGGCTCTGTGAGAGGGAGAGGAAGGAGAGAGTTTGGCTCATGTGAACAGTATTTTTGCAGGCTTTTGCAGGTGGAAGCCTGAGCTGCTTGGAGCCATATCAAAGAGGGCCGTAGTACACCTGAGACATCATTCAATTTACTCATACAAATAACATCAGATGAAGACCCCGTTTGGTAGAGCTCCTACCATCTCCGGCTTCAATGAGAGTAGGGGAAGCAAGTTTTTTTTTCTTCTCCTGCTCCCACTGGCTCTGTGAGAGAAGAGAAAAAAGAGCTCCTATGAACAGTATATAACAGTAAATGTGCCAGAGAAGCTAGAGTTTGTGGGAGCTCTACCAAACGGGGCAGAAGATATAGTCCATGGTTCAACACACATCTGTTCGAAGTCTCTGAAATCGAACGTGTCAATTACTAAAAATAAATTATATGTGATTTGTCTAAACTCTCATTGGAAGGAAAAATATTGTAAAAAACTTTTAATTAATAATTGTCATTAAAAGATAATGAGTGTGTGCGATCCTTAACACAGTAAAAAAAATAAGTGAGTGATGAGAAGACAACGGGCATATTTGGTTCCTTTGCTTGGTAGTACTATTTTTTTAAAGGGAATTCAATTCCATTACTCAACCACGTCAGCTAAATCACTTGACATCATCAAATACATAAATACAATCTGGCACTCCGGCCAACACCGAGGGCTAAGCCTCTTGACACTTACAACCTATAGCTGCTAATTCATGGGCTAGTCGACACGGGGCGCATACTTCACCTGAAAATGGCTAAAGTTTTCAGCTAGTACTCCTTCAACTCATGGACAATTCCACCCATTAATGCAAGCTTGAACTCATCCCCTTCTATCGCGCGTGATCACTTGCTTTGTATTAGACTCTAAGACGATGTCAGAAATGCCCAGCGCCACAGCTGCGCTAACGCCTTTAACACAGGCCACCAGCTCCATTTGAAGAGGGCTGTAGGCGTGGTTTATGCGACCTGAACCGGACTGATCCCCCTGTGTCCCTAATGACATATCCCCATCCGCCGCTCGCTTCCGCCTCCCTGAAAGAACCATCTACATTCAGTTTTAGGGTACCCGGTGGAGGCCACTCCCATCGCCGTAGTGGCCTGCAATTCCCCTCCGACGCTGAAGAGTTCATAGCTTTCATCTCCGCAGCCTGTCTTCCGCTCAAGCAAGCTATATGGTCAGCTGATATTCTCAAACCTTCTTCCCGGATTGAATTTCTCTC